TTGGCGGTACTATATATTTCTCCACGAAACAGACTCAAACTCTTCATGCAATATTCTACAGTCATACTAATACAGTGTTTATATTATTATTTTTTAATCAGTTGCTGGATATCTACAGAGTATTACACACTTCTTGCCTTCATCTTGCCAGTCACGTTAACGCTATTGGTATGAATGTTTAATATAAATACGAAGGAACGGAGGGAGGGAAAAAATACAGAAATTAAAAATGAAGGAAGAACCATTTTAAAATGCCGAAAAAATTGCTTYCCTTGTCGTGATCGAGGCATGCAATCTATGTGACCAAAATGAATGAAAAAAGAACGGTCACTAGATTTATGCACAGGRGTAGACGAACAACTTTATGCTTATATATGTTTGAGGAAGGGGGGAGGGATGGGAGGGAGATGGAATGTACTATCAATGGAAAGTGGTAAATGGCACTGATCACAAAYGACTTTTTTCTCCAACTTTGAACATTTTTACTTGAGGATTGTTTTGGTTTGCGATACTTCCAATCTGCCTCCTTTTCCATGGAATATTGTCCTGTGTGTTTGTCCTCTGTACTTAAAATCCTAAAAAAATGTCATCAAAAGCTATTCTCAAATGGCTTGGGAATGTTTTGTTGTGCATATTTCATAGAAAGCTCAAAATGCCCTATGGACGATGTGAATGCAATCAGCGAAGGCCACAACCATATGGAATTTTTCATACTTTTTCTACACTTTTTTCCGCATATCATATCAAGGTTTACTCTATATGTTAATTTCGAAGTTGGAGTAGAGAAAGCTATGCGGATACGAAAATGTTTGTGTCCTCACGCAGCGTATTCGAATCGTTTTCACCGTCCACACGTGTCCGTTTTCGTAAAATTTGCGGATACGGTCACGAAAATTTGAGGACACGCGTGGACGCAACCCGTATCCGTAAAAAAAATTTGCGGATACAAAAATTTGCGGATACGTGTGGACGGGGCCTCAATGTTTGATATGTTGTTTTCCTGTACCGACATTTACAAGTAATTCACCACTATATTTCAAGCTTGGTATGCAACATGCAACAAAAAACTTTATCCGCCTCGTTTGAAATAGTGGTACAATTAATATAAATTCAATCCATAAAAAAGTGGAAAAAATCTCCAAAATTTTGCGTTTAGTTTTTAGCCTTTTCTTAAAAACTTTTTATAACCTGGTGTAATCAAATAATAATATTTACTTTTACCTGCTTTGAATTTTTCCTCCAGGTTAACATAGTTATTTTGTGTCTTGTGATGAGAGAGATATGCAAACTACACGTCTCGGAGAGCTCACACATCAAGAAAATGATTAAGTAAGTAATATATGAAGTCATCAAACATGGCGGACATATGAGGAACATCGTCCAACATGACTTCTATTTTTATTTCACCGTTAGGAGTGTTAACAAATCACTTAGAGTGAACATCATCCAACATAGCCGCCAGTTTTATTTCCTTAGAAATGATTACAAATCACCTAGAGTGAACATAATTCAACATGGCTGTTATTTACGTCACATCTTGTCTGTGTCTTTCAGCTCGACCTTCAAGACCGTAGCAGTTTTATTTCCATTGCTTGGCATCACATGGATATTTGGCTTGCTACTCTTTGTTACCCAACAAATTATGTTTCAATATTTATTTGCCGTGTTCAACTCTTTACAGGTCAGTCTGGATAATTACCCGCATACAGAGAAAAGATTTATATCGTAGATCCTTCATATTGCTAATCCTCATTGCTAAATGGGCTGAATATAGGCCGTGCTGTAATAGACCTAATAGACGTCTTGCAGCACTTCGGAATGCAACTCAAATTGGAGGGCATAACAATATGTTTCCAATTCTCAGGGATTGAAATGCGTTTGGGTTTTTTCCCTCCAAATTGAGCTCATTTGACGTCACATGCATGGGGTCTATTCGTTGTGGTGCAATGTTTTCCCATTACAGAGCACGTGTCATTCTTTTGAAAATAAGAGTCTTCGTTTGAGTTGTAACTAGGTTGGACCACCCTGGGGCAACTAACCGTTAAAGAAAGAAATAATTGGGAAAAACACTTGGTTCGTAATGGGAAAACATTGCATAAGGACGAATTAGGTCTATTGGTTGATAGTTGTTAAAAATCCTGCGAAGTACGAACACAGGGAATAACGTTTTAGAAAAACCGGATGATGATTTTTTAAAAAAAAAAGTTCTCATAATCGAATTTTCCTTTGTTTTACCAGGGTTTTTTCATTTTCGTTCTCCACTGCCTGTTCAATTCAGAGGTTAGTTTAATGTCATTTGAATATTATCAAATATATGCATCAAAAAATCTGTTAACATTGAGCCCATACAAATTATGTCTCAAAAACACGGTGTTTGGATCTTTTCTAAAAATAATGACTATCTAGGCAAAAAACAGAAGTGGATTCAGTTAATTCACGGACTGTATTATATGGTTTAGATTGAATTCTATTGAAAAGAACCACCGTACTTTTTGAGTTGAATGTACGCTATTGGATGTATTTTACAAGAGAAAATGCAAGACATAACCGGGGTCAAGCTAGAAAATCGTCTCTCCTTGAAATAAAACAGAATCATCAAAAAAACACAAGTGGATTTGAAAACCCTGGGCCTTCCTGAACATTTTGGTATATAATTCATAGGAATTTGTTAAAATTTAGAACCGTATTTTTGCTGATTTTATAAGCTCATACTATCTGTTGGCCTATACATTCGCCTCTTATGGTTTCTTAGGTTTCGTAGCCTCGAAAACACGCTCGTACAGTAGTTCGCGAAGAACAGAAGATTTACAGGGTCATTTAGGATGTTGTGTCACACAGTTTACTTGTGCTATATAACTTTACTTTTAAGAACAACCTTTTGCTTTGGAAAGAGAGGAAAGAGCAAATATTCCAAATGTATGGGCAATTTTTTCCAATGTAGCTATTATTAATGCTATTTATCCTCTGTTTCCTTAACTAGATTCGCAAAAACTTCAAGCGCAAGAAAGAAGTCTGGAAATCACTAAGAGCATTTGAAAACGTTCGCAGGAGAATTACTATATCTATAATCCCAGTGCGTTCGCCCGTTACCAAGGCAACCACAGTTAGCAACGAAAGAGCAGAGACGTTTGAGGTAAACGTAAGGCTTCTAAATTTGCATGTCTGTTTGCTTTCTTGTTTGGTTGT